CCTCACTAAGCCTCCTCTTCTCCTCTATAAAACGGTTGTTATGTTTCACTCTTTCAAAAAATATTGACTGGGCACCTACTGTGTGCTAGGCACTGGTGTGGCTTCTAAACGGTGTGGATATGGTCTCTATCACGGGGTTAAAACTGAAGAGAGGATCCGTGAATTTATACGGTGTAAGGTAATTAAAACTTCCAGGCTGGGGCTGTAGCTCAGTTAGTATGCAGTGGAACGCATGAAAGAAACCCTGGGTTCTATAAGTCAAGCATACTGGTATGTGCCCATAATCCCAGTGCTCTGGAGATGACAGCAGGAGGACCAGACATGCAGGGCCATCCTCAGCTATGTAGCAAGTTCAAGGCCAGCCTGGACTACATGAATAAATATGTCTGAAAATAAATAAATAAATAAATAAATAAATAAATAAATAAATAAATAAATAAATAAATAAATATAAAGCTAGGGGGAGATGACCCGGTGCTTACTGTGAAAGTGAAAAGACCCAAGTTCAAATCCCCAGCTCCCACGTAGAAGCTGTGTGTGACCTTGTGTGCCTGCAACCCCTAGAATAAGGTAGAGCGTGATGGAGGAGATACAAACTGTACCCCGAGCAGTGAGTGGATAAATACACAAAGCTGAGGCTTTAGAGAAGTGTGGAGGAGGAGGGTAAAGGAGAGTGATGTGTTTGGAGCAGAGGCTGATGCAGCGGTAAGGCCTCAGCCACCGAGAGGGACTTCCCACGCGGGACCCAGCAGAGGGGCCTGAGAAACGCTTGCACAGTGAAGGATTGGGCGAGCGAGGGAGACAGGACCCACGACAGAGGTCAGTCCGCCCAACACTCCACTAAGGTGGAGAGTGGGGGTGGCTGTGCCCAGGCCCAGGATGAGGGCAGTTTCAGGGATGTGTGGGTGCAGAAGCAGTGCTCCTACCATCAGAGAAGCTCTCCGAGGGGGACTCACAGGTGCTCCCCCAGCCAGCAGGAGCAAGGAGAGGGGACAGGACCAAACCAAGCCAATAAACGCCAGCTGAGCTCCTCACCCTGGGAGATCAAGTGCTACTTGGTGGCCTAGGAGTTGCCGTTGAGATTTCCAGGATGTCAGTCAGATAGTTAGGGACTGAGAGTTTGTGTCCTGTGTCTCAGGTACAGACAAGGGTACAGAAAAAGGCACTGCCTTCTTCGTGTGTGTGTGTGTGTGTGTGTGTGTGTGTGTGTGTGTGTGTGTGTGTGTGGCCACGCACATGTGCACAGAGGTCAGAGGACAACCAACAACTTTCAGGAGTACAGAAATGAGGTCGGTGCAAACACCTTCACCAGCTTAAGCCACTCTCTGGGCCCAGGGACCCAGCAGCTGGGACTGCGTCTGGAACCCCAGCAGAGGTCGACTGAAGACAGAAATACAGTCCTGGGCAGCCCTTGTGGAGCCGCCTTGCCCTTCACCCCGCCAGAACATCCTGGTTTTCCAGGTGGAGGAAGTGGGGTGATGGGTGGCAAGCGGAGAGGAAGTGGGGTGATGGGTGGAAGCGGAGAGGAAAGGCGGCCGAAGGTCACAGAGCCGAGCACTTATCTGCGGTGGCTGAGGTGATCAACTTTTGACAACGCCATCCGTGTGTCACCTCCTTGCCAGCCTCTGTCCTCTCCTCTCACACCTTGAGGGGAGTGACAGCCCTGGGAAGCGGTGGGGACAGGGGACAAGCAAGAGCCTGGGGGAGCCCTAGAGTGCCCACAGCAAGGAGCCGGGGTGACAGTCACCCTGACCTTGGGGAGCCTCTAGAGGGGCACGGACAACCCCCTCTCCCAGGAGAAGGCCCTTTCAGACCCTGGAGCACAGAACCCGAGGCCTCGCGTTAGTCCAAGCCGGGCAGGCTTGCCCCCCCCCCCCAGCCCTTCTCCTCACACACTGGTCTATTGTTGATGAACAACTTGGCTGTTCTCTAAAGTGGCTAAAATCTGGCCCAGCTTCCAAGGCCTTTCCTGGTCAGATCAGGTGACCCATTCCCTGAGACGTTTGGAGCAAGAGAGGATTACCTGCCACCCGCTTCCCCCTTGGAGGCAGGTGAGACTAAATCCATTTAACTGACCGGCTGCTGCCAGTTTACAAATAAAACACAGGCAATGAAAGCCGCCTTTGTTCCACGGAGGCGGGCTTCCTGGCGCTGAGGTTAGATTAGCGATTTGTCCTTTGTGAAAGGATTACCTCATTGTTTTAATGTTTATTTATCAATTTGCATCTTCCAGCAGTTTCGACTCCGCTCCGGGGGCCCAGCCCTCCACGTCTCGCTGCTCATTTTACCACCCGTGCCAAGGACCTCAATAAAGGGAATTCGGAGCGCTCCTGGACCACGGGCAAACCCGCCCTTATTTTCTGTCTGCACAGGTTCAAACTTCTTTCCCTGGCTGAGGAATAGAAATGAAAGGCCTGTCCAGGGAGAGAAGACGTTCCGCCAGATAAAAGGAATCTTTTCTATCTGAGATTTCTAACATAAAACTCTGCACTTTTGTGAAATGGTCTTAGTTTGAAGCCAATCTGCCCCGGGGGCAGCTGCCAGGTCTCCAGAAGCCTGAAGCTCGCCTTCATACTGTGCATTGCTTGTGTGGCTCTGAGAAACACAAGGATGACTTCTTCAAGGTGACAAGGGGGCTGAGCAGGGCTCATCACTTCCTTCCCAAAAGAAAGTGATGTCTTAAGCACTTGGTTCTGTACAGGGGCAAGTGGAATCCCAACTCCTTCTTACCTGGGATATTTTTGCCTGAGGACAGTTTATAGACCTTTGATTTTAAAAATAAAATGGTGGGGCTTGGGGAGATGGTTCAAGGGGTAGGCACAAGGTCCTCTGCAAGCATAAGGACCTGAAATTGACTCTCCCAAGCCCACCAAAACAGCTGGGCATGGCTTCCTGTGTGCCTGTAACTCTGGCACTGAGGACCCCAAGAGCCCACACATCAGCCAACTTCAGGCTCAGGAAGAGATCCTCTCTCAGGCAAGAAGCCTCATGCATATTCATAGGCCCCCTCACCTACACACTCATGCATACACAACTCACACTAAACAAATAAAATGCTCCCCACCTCCGCCCCTCCCCCACAGGGTTTCTCTGTGCACCAGTGGCTGTCCTTGGACTTGCTCTACAGACAGAGCTAGCCTCGGACTCGGAGATCATCCTCTCTGTCTTCCAAGGGCTGGGACTAAGCCATGTGCCACTGTGCTTTGTTTTGTTTATGAGACAGTGTCTCAGATAGCCCAGGCTAGCCTGAAACTCTCAAGTATATGAGAATGATCTTGAACTCCTGATCCTTCTGCTTCTACCTCCCAAGTGCTGGGATTATGGGCACTCACTACCACCATGACAGGCCAAAAAGGCCAAAAAGAAACTTCAGGATTTGATTAGACTGTACACAGCTCAGTGGGAGGTCATCTGCCTAGCAGGGCGCAAAGCCCTGAGCACAACCTTTAGCGTAAAAGAAAAAGAATATAAAATTAGAAATCTTGGGCACTGGCTGTAGGTTGCCTAGTATGTGCAAGAGCCCAGTCTGATCTTCAAAACTAAACAAAACAAAAAATATTGAGGCTGGGTACAGTTGTGCATGCCTCCCAGCACTCAGGAGGCAGAGGCAGGCTAGTCTCTGAGTTCAAGGCCAGCCTGGTCTACAGAGTGAGTTCCAGGACAGCCAGGTCACACAGAGAAACTGCCTCAAAAGAAAAGAAAATAAATTAAAACCCAATTCCCACCGGTGTGCTGCTTGGTGCACAGCTGTAACCCAGCCTGTGGGAAGTAGAGGCAGGAGGATCCGAGGCTTAAGATCATCTCTGAAGTGAGTTCCAGACCAGTCTGGGACATATGAGCCCGGTCGTAAAAGTAAACAAAGAACAACTTTAAACAATCAATGTAGCTCATCTAAAACAAGTAGATCAGTGTGGCAGAGATCAGGATTGGGGGTGTCACAGGAAATGGGGGGCATAGGAAAACTCTGGTGCCTTTTTCTCAATCTTGCTATGAACTTCAAACTCTTGGGTCTTGAGGTGTGTGTGTGTGTGTGTGTGTGTGTGTGTGTGTGTGTGTCTGTTTCTGTCTGTGTGTCTGTTTCTGTCTGTGTGTCTGTCTGTCTGTGTGTCTGTGTGTGTGTCTGTGTGTGTCTGTGTGTCTGTCTGTCTGTGTGTCTGTGTGTGTGTCTCTGTGTGTGTGTGTGTGTGTGTGTGTGTCTGTGTGTCTGTGTGTGTCTGTGTGTGTGTATGCTGTTTTTCTTGGAGATCTGCTATCACCTAGCCTCAAACTCATTATGTAGCTGAGGATGATCCTGAACTCCTGATTCTTCTACCTCTCCATTTCTCAAGTACCAGGGTTACAGGTGTGTACCACCACGTGGGTCTGGCTCCCAAAACCACTCTTAAATATAAGTGATGAGGTTGAAGAGATGGCTCAGTGGCTCCGAGCACTGGCTCCTCACAGCCATAGAACAGTGACTAAGACACTGCTCTTTAGAGGATCAAGGTTTGGTTCCCAGCACTTGCATAGCAACTTACAGCAGTCTGTAACTCCAGTTCCAGAGGATCTGATGCCTCCTCTTCTGGTCTCATTGGGCATCAGGCAAATGTGTTGCTCAGGCATGCAAGTAGGCAAAACAAGTAACTGTATTAAGCAAACGGTTCTGCCATACTGGCCCCTCTAAGACCCCACAGCGGGCTCTCCTGTCCTGCACGGCACAGTGCACACACTGGATGAAATAAAGAAGAGATCCCCACATTTTCCTCCAGCTTGGTCTCCAAGGTAGGCTACCCCTTTGCCTATACATCCTCCAAATCCCAGGCATCTCAGCAGATACCACATCTCATCTTTCTAACTCCTGCCTTACATACGCTAACCCTCGCCAGATATTCTGGAAGGTCTGCTTTCGAAACAGATGCTTGGTGCCAAGACAAAGTCCTTCACCAGGTGGCCTCAATGGTATGTTTCAGTTTTAGCCTGCACTGAGACCTGAAGCAGTGTTTTTACTGTGTTGCCCATAGATGATGGCAAACCGTGAAGCTAAACACAAGGGAGGAAGCCAGCCTCCTCCTTCAAGCGGTGGCACACCACAAAGGGCCGCTGTCCGTCCAAACGTGACCCCACCAGGTTCATGGTAGCTGCTCAGCCCCTCTGACACTCTAAGTCCTTCAGCGAGCAAGAAGCTGAACCCACTACAACAATCTCCTAATTAGCTCACAGCGTGTTGTATCAGGTGAGTCTGCAGCCTCTCGATTCTGTTTATTTGTACTGTTTCGAGACAGGGTCTCATGTAACCCAGGCTAGCCTCAGAGTCACTATGTAGCTCGTGCTAACCTTGAGCTCTTAATCCCTATGCTTCTACCCCCTGAGTAAGTGCCTGCTGGGATTACAGTGGTGTGCCACCAAGCCTGTCTTTTTATTTTACTTTTTCAGTCTCCAGGCAACTTGATGGACCTGTTGTGGATGCAACTTGAAAATGAAAACATTGTTCCCACCAAGGCTCTTCTACCAATACCAGACAGCTTTGCCTTCCAGAGCCTTCTGGAAGCAGCCAACTATTCCCAAGACCTAGAAGGTTCTGCCACAGATGGCCACTTAATAGAAATTTCTATGAAATACTGGCAAAGTATTTTGTAAGGTATAATGGGAGAAAGGGGGTCAATATTCATAGGAAAAGGAATAGAAAAGCTAACTAGCAAAAACTTTTATCCTTTTTTTCTTTTTTAAATACTTTTGGAAAAGTTAATATTGTGGATGACATCCTTTGGGCACACACCCCCCCAGCACCCTTCATACCTTCTACCCCTCCCTTCCTCCCTCCCTCGCTCCTCCTTTTTATGGAAGAACATGTTGATATAAGACAACCCATTTGTGTACCAACGATGGCAGCCCGGGCTGGAATTCCAGCTCTGCTGCTTAGGGGAAAGATCTCAGAGTTACTGAATCTTGGGACTCTTTCTGTTGGGTTTGTTTTGCTCTGCTTTATTTAGAGACAATGTCTTCTTGATATATGGACTGGAACTTAAATGTAGCCCAGGCTGGCTCAAGCTCATGATTCTCCTGCCTCAGCCTCCTGAGCACTAGAATTGCAGCCATGAGCCACAATGTGCAGCCTGCTCTTTGTTGTTTTGTTTTGGTCCCGCTAAGGATTGAGTCCTTACCAATGGTGATGTAGCTGGAGAGAGACACACTGGCAGATGGGTAAAGAAAACCTGCAGAAGTTCATCTGCTGGGGCGTCTTTGAGTCAGAGACAGGATAGTAGTGGTGTCCCAGCTTTTCCGCTTCTATAAAGAACACCTTCAGGAGTATTTGCTTGCTTGTTTGTTTATTGAGATAAAACCTTGCTAGGTAGCACAAGCTGGCCTAGAATGTTCAGCAACTCTCATTCATCAGCCTCCTAAGTGCTGGGATTACAAGCTTGAGACACCAGCCCTGCCCCCAACCCAACTTGTAGCCACTGACCTCTGGCTTCTGTAGGAGCGTGTTGCATCATCCGATGGCTCACTGACTAAGCTGGAATTGAAAATTAGTTGGGCGTCATTTTCTTTAGTTTCACAAAGTTAGCATGAGGATCGGACTTCCTTGTCAAATGTGAGGTCTTTCTCTGCAAGGTTAGTGAGTACCTTTCCAGATACTCAGGCTTCCCTCCCCCGGGTTTCCTTTCTCTCCTTTGTGGTCTGGTCTGTACTGAAGATTCCAGAACACAGACCTCACTGCTCCTTGCTCTACTACTCAACGTTTAGTTACAATGTGATCAGCCTACAGCTGCCTGAGCCTGATGGGGCTTAGAAAGTCCCCGGTAACTTGATTTGAGATGCAGCAGTTTTTTCTGGTTGGCAGGTCTGAATCCATGAAGTGTTAGAAATTTAGACTGAGTGAACAAGCTATAAAACAGCAAAGTGTTACACATTCATTTCATGGTTTCTGGACCTTTCCTCAGTTAAGATGAAAAGAGAGAAGGGCCAATATTCAAACCCTAGTAACCTGGCCTCTAATCTTCTTTCTGTAATCAAGTATATAATCTTTGTGCTTTGTGTCTGAGTTGAGTTTTAGAATTTTCCAGAATGAGTCTGAATTCGGTTCTACAGATAAACTGCTTCCAGTAGCAATTCTTTCTACATTATAATAGAACCATGGTTTCTCTGTGGGAGTAAATTAGTCTTCCGGGACCCCCAGCACAGACCAGAAAGGCCTCCTCCCAAGCCCCACCCCCACACTGACCCCCAGTTTAATAACATGGCCAAGGGGTGGGGCAGAGGCCAAGTCTCAGGGTTTCCTGGAGGCCCAAGGCCTTGCTGAGGCTGCCCACAAGCATCTCTCTTCCTGCCACCAAGGCTGCCATGGTTTCACAGATCCACAGCTGACTCTGCTGCACACACTAATTTGTTTTTCCCGAATTCAGCTTGTCAAAATATTCTAGGGTCAGGATCCTCGCTATTTCCAAGCTAACCTCTCCCCTTTGTATTTTCCAGGGATCATTTTGAGAAAGTAACTCATTTGGCTAGTTTCAAACCAGCTGACTCAATGGAATTACAGCTGTGTGCATGTGCATGTGAGTTCGAGTGTAAGAGTGTGTGTGTGTGTGTGTGTGTGTGTGTGTGTGTGTGTGTTCTCACATGTGCTATGGCATGCATGTGGAAGTCAGAGGAGACTGTTCTCTGTCTCTACCATGTAGCACTCACGGATCCACTCAGGTCCTCTTGTTTGGTGGCAAGTGTCCTTACCTGCTGAGCTCTCCCTCTGGCCCCATGAGGATTCTAGAGTCTGGCTTTTTTCATCTATCATAAAGCATTTGAGATTCATTCATATTCCTGCTGGTGTCAGAAGTTCATCCCTTCTATTGCTAGGTGAGTTCCTCAGAATAAATATAGCATAGTTTGGATAACCATTGACCAGATTTGGGAACATCTGAGTTATTTCCAGCTTAGGCTAATCATAAATCGAGCTATCATAAACATTCTTATACAATTTTTATTTCACTTGGGTGACCATTTAGATGGGTAGCGGCTGATTGCCTGTTAAACAAAAGCATCGCTTTATAGAAACGGTGTGACTGACTTTGGAGGTCCCCTCCCTGAGCCGTGGATGAAAGCTCCCTCATCCTCACCAGAAACTGCCACTGTCTGGTTGTTTGGGTTGCTGACCGTGTGTCCCTTCTGTGAGTTGTGTGTCCCTTCTGTGAGTTGTGTGTCATTCAGAGCACACACAGTCAGAAGTTTCCTTGCAGACTTTTCCCTTCACAGAAATCTCCAGAAAGCAGGATAAAGAGTCTAGAAGGTGATATTAATGTTGTCGTTAGAACCACAAGGTCTGTTAGATAAACTGTTGCTTCCTGGTGTAGGCCCCTGTGAGATGATGCCCTCAGCACCTGCCTTTCTGCTGCCTATTTATTGCCAGCATCCCTGGTTCACTGTCAAGGTCACTTACCAGAAGCAGGGACTACTGACTGCAGTGACTAGGGTAAGAAATGTATTTTCTTTGTTTTTTGCAGACAGGTCTCACTATGTAGCTGCAACTAGCCTGGAACTCTCTGTAGACCAGGCTAGCCTCAAACTCACAGAGGTCTGCCTATGTCTGCCTCATAAATGCTGGGATTAAAAGTGTGCACCTCCACACCTGACTTAATAAATGTTTTTCTAAAGAGAGAATGCCCCTCTGTCATGCTAGTGGGGCAAATCAATACTGTATTGATCCAGTAAGTCATTATTCTGGGCAATGGTGGGGAGGAATCTAATGTCTGTCAGCAAAACTAAAAATTGAACAATCATATGACCCACGCACACCATTTCTGGGTGTATACCCTACATCCCTGTATATATCCTGTATCTTTGGATATATATTTTGATTTTATATGGATATATAAAATAGTTCTGTCTGTCTGTCTGTCTGTCTGTCTGTCTGTCTGTCTGTCTCTCTCTCTCTCTCTCTCTCTCTCTGTGAGATACAAAAGCAGAAAAGTGATTAGGGAAGGATGGAGTGAGGGTGAAGGGGAAGGAGACAGGGAGGGGGGAAGGAGACAGGGAGGGGGAAGGAGACAGGGAGGGAGAGGAAGATATAGAGATGAATAAGGTAGACTATATGATCTACGTTAAATCATTTTTGTGAAAGCAACACCACATACAATATTCACCACCAACAAAAAAGAAATATCAAAATATTTCTATGTCAATGACAGCTAATTGGCTCTCTCTCTCTCTCTCTCTCTCTCTCTCTCTCTCTCTCACACACACACACACACACACACATACACACACACACACACACGTATGTTTTAGAACTCAATGGCATGGGCTCAGTAACTCTTTTCTCTAGTAATCTCCAATAATTACTTTATTGATTTACTGAACCCAATAAATTTCCAGATTTTAGAGGTACAATTTTGAGAGAGGTAATGTTTGAAACAAAATCTTGTTACAATAAATTAGACAGTTTTGTATGTATTGATAACATAGATGGGCCTATATAGTGTTTTTGTTTTATATGTGTGTGCATCTGCATGTGCAGGTGTAGATGCATGTATTCATGTTGGGGGAAGCAGAAGTTGACATCGGTTGTCTTTCTCAATGGCTCTCCACTTTTATTTCATTAAAGAAATTTTATTGTAAAGATTACTGCAAAAGGAAAAAAAAAAGTCACACACTGAAATTAACCAGACTCAAAGACTATACACGTTAAAGGAGTCTCAGTAAAAGTCCAGTACTGATGACGTAGCAGGAGCTAGAGGCCTTGAACCAGACCAACTGACTGGTTGCAATGACTGTTTGCATGTAAAGCCGTTTGCAAAAGGGTACGCTGTGTGACACACGGCAGCTTCCAATGCCACTACAACAACCCAATTCGTGATGGAGAGGCAGGAAAGACAGAGGAGCGGAGCAGTGCATGCCCAGTGGAACAGCTGTGATGGGAAGGCTGCCGTTGTGGAGGAACCCAGTAGGGTCGGCAGGGTGGTGTGCAGCAGCCTGGAGCTTACTCGGACCAAACAAGCTGCCTAGCCCCATGGTTGCCCTGGGTCTGAACAGCAACAGGGTGTCTAAGATGAAGAATAGTCCATTTCCTGGCCTGGACTTCCTCGAAAGACCTCCATGGTCCGAGCTTCTCCTGGAGGCTGGTCCGTGGCTGGTGCTTCGTCAAAGGGCAGTGTTGATGCCTGCAGGCTGTACTACCTCGGAGCCGTGATCCTTAGTGCCTGCAGATGCTGGAGACCAATGGATGTACATGGTCTTTGCTGTTGCCAGAACCATGTGGAAGCCCAGGGTCTGTGCTTCTGCCTCCTGTGAAGGGCAAGGAAGCTCCTCTTGCAAAGTTGTAGATGACTGCAGACACACAGCTGAGAAAGAGGAACGTAAAAGCGTCTGTGACAACCCCCACCCCACTCCACCCAAAAAGGTGACAACCTAGAGAGGAAGCCACGAAGGAGAACGAAACAAAGAATGGTGATGTGGATGCTGAGGTGCGGCTCTCCGCAGCTGGCGGCTCCTGGCAGGGCCGAAAGCGGAGAAAGGAATTTGACCATGCTCCAGTGGATATATGGACAGCCCAAAATGCACTTGGTTTTTCTTTCTTCTTTTTCTTTCCCTTTCTTTTTTTGGGGAGGGGTGTCACAAGGGAGAGGGGTGGAGGACACTGGAAGACTGGGAGGGGAGCACAGGTGGGTGCATGATGTGAGATTCCCATAGAATCAATCAAAATGTTACGCTAAAAATACTTTTATGCACTTATCTACCACCAAAACCAAAACCAAACAAAATCTATGACAGAGTTAGAACTAGAAAAACAATCAGGCTTATATCCTCTTTCATGACTCACGTCCATTACCTGCATTTAGTCCTTCCTTATCCCGTAATTTTCAGTCTTGTTCTCTTTCTGTGTGTCGTACCTATATGTACATTTGTCAACATGTATATGAAGATTGTTGGCTACACTCTGCATATGAAGAATATATGGGCTTTTTCTTTCAGAGACTGTGACCTCAAATAATATTATCACTTTATTTTCATTAATTAATTAATTAAATTCTTTTTCCTGAGACACAGTTTCTCTGTGTAGCCCTAGGTGTTGTGGAACTCACTCTGTAGACCAGGCTGGCCTCGAACTCACAGAAATCCACCTGCCTCTGCCTCCCAAGTGCTGGGATTAAAGGTGGGCACCACCACCTAACTTAGTCTTTTTTATTTTTAATTTTATTGTTATTGATTCATTGGGAATTTCACATCATGCATCCCAGTCACTCTCACTTCCCAGTTCTTCCACATCTGCTTCCCCTCCCTTGTGACCCCCAAATTAATAAATAATAATAATAATAATAATAATAATAATAATAATAATAATAATGAAGTCCATCTGTGTTATCCATATACTCACTGGAGCACGGTCAAGTTCTCAGTGGCCTGTCCCTTAAGCAGAACTGAGTCATTCCCCTCCTGCACCCCCACCAGAAGCCATCAATTGTGGGGAGCCAACATACACATCTTTATCACATTTCCTAAGAGTTCTCTTTGACGGCTTCCTGTTTAGGCTGTTACCCTTTGCGGGGGTGTTGAGATGGGGGTAGTCACAGAAGCCCTCCATGTCCCTTCTGTCAATTGTGCATCTGCAGTTGGCAATGTCACTGCAGATGTGGCCTCCTCGCACTTCACAGTCAGCAGGAGCGTGACTCCACGTGCTGTCTAGGAACAGCACAGACCCCGCTGCAGCAGGACCACAGACCCAGACAAGGACCTTGGCAGCAGCCTGGACCCGTGGGCTCAGCTGGCAGTGTCAGCCACTCTCGTCAGCCCGGTCCTCACTGTCACCCCATCTCCAGTTCCGAGGTGGCAAATGAGCCTCTACACCTATTCTTTTTGTGTCTAGAATATCAGATTGCTATATATTCATTGAACTATTTTCTAAATTCTGAACATTTCAGCTGACCCCAGGACATTTATTGCAGTGTTATTTATATTCACAAAAATGGGAGAAAGCTAGCATGTGTCGGGAGAGGAATTAAATACAATCATAGAATATCCCCAGTACAGAAGATTATTTACTTAGAATAATAATGAATTCATTGATGCTGGAGAGATGAATCAGCAGTTAAAAGCACATGCTGCTCTTATGGAAGTAGCTTTGTAAATGAAGGTGCTTAATGCCAAGGCAAAAGACAAGACCTTGATTCCCGGGACCCACATGGTGGAAGGAGAGAACTGATTCCCACAGGTTGTCCTCTGTGTGTATATGGCACATCCACATCCCCACACACATACAGCCAACGTATTCTGGCCTCTCCATGTGCAGGTGGGATCAGGAGTCCTCTCCATCGCTCTGTCTATTTCTTTTGAAGCACAATCTGGTGCTAGGCTGGAGGCCAGAGAACCCCGTGGTCCTCCTGCTTCCCTCCTCAGGGCTCAGGGACGTCTAGCTTGTGTGTTATATGGGTGCTTGAGTTGGGACTTTTTCTGTCCCACCAGCCAGCTCCCAAATAACAACACAGAGACTTCTTAATTACGACAGCTCAGCCGACAGCTTAGGCATGTTTCTAACTAGCTCTTATAACTTAAATTAACCCATATTTTTTATTAATCTATGTTCTACCATGTGGCTTTTACCTCCTATTTTGTGAGTCTGACTCATTCCTTGTCCAGCTGGCTTCTTCCTCTGGCTGGCAACTCTGCCCTTCTTCCCAGCATTCTCTCTGCCCCCAAAATCCTGCCTAGCTATTGGCTATTAAGCTTTTTATTAAACCAGTCATAGTGACATATCTTCACTCAGTGTAAAGGAATATTTCACAACAGGTGCTGGGATCCCAACTCTGATCCTTATGATAAATAAGCAAATAATGACAAACTGGGAAAAAGTTAAAAATTAGTAATCCACAAAGGCTATATTAATGGCAAATTTTGTGTGTTTTTCATACACACACACACACACACACACACACACACACACACACACACCATACATGTGTACATCCTCATTTGTTACCAAGAAATCCAAATAAATATAAAAAGTTATATCTGGATCCCTCATCTCCAGAGCAACTGAGAACAACAACCAGACCTGCTGGATGTCAGGACAGCACAAGCCTGGTGCAGGATTCAGGCACTTTGGAGGTAAAGCAGGAAGACCCCAAAGTCCTGCTGATTAAAGCGTGCCTGGGTTCACAATGCCCCCCACTCTGTGTGTGTGTGTGTGTGTGTGTGTGTGTGTGTGTGTGTGTGTGTGTGTGTGTGATATTGTGTCCCTCAATATACTGTGCATCCTAATAAACTTATCTTGGGTCAGAGGACAAAACAGCCACTAGATAGACTTAGAGGTCAGAAAATGGTGGCACACACACACCTTTAATCCTAGCATCCCAGAGGCAGAGATCCATCTGGATCTCTGTGAGTTCAAAGCCACACTGGAAACAGCCAGGCATGGTGACTCACGCCTTTAATCCCAGGAAGTGATGGCAGAAAGGTATATAAGATGTAAGGACCAGGAACTAGAGCTGGTTAAGCTTTTAGGCTTTTGAGCAGCAGTTCAGCTGAGATCCATTTGGATGAGGACTCAGAGGTCTCCAGTCTGAGGAAACAGGATCAGCTGAGGAAGTGGCAAGGTGAGGAAGCTGTGGCTTGTTCTGCTTCTCTGATCTTCCAGCATTCACCCCAATAACTGGCCTTGGGTTTGATTTTATTAATAAGGCCTTCTAACAATTCATGCTGCTCTCTCTCTCCCCCCTCCCTCCCTCCCTCGCTCCCTCCTTCTCTACTTTCCTCTCTCTTTTCTTCCTCCACTTCCCCTCTCTTTCCAGCCTCCAAGGGCCAGAATCTGGGTGTCTAAGGAAGTGATCTCACCCAGTGTTGCTTATCTCCAAGGGTTTAAAGACCCCTGAAGTAGAGTTGCCCGGGGAGGGCCGGTCCTGGAAAAGGCCTCGCCAGCAGAAGTTCTGTGACGCCCACTTCACTCCCCACTGAAGCTCATTCCCTCCCCTGATGCTCACACGCAGGGACTTGGGCTGTTCATTCTACCCTGAGATACACACCAGAAAGAGCAGCTGCTGTCCTATGTGGAATGAATTCACTGGCACAAGTAACCAGACCCTCGAGTATGTCCCTTGAGAGAATGTCCCTTGCAGACAAACAGTAAACTCAAGATCAACACCATCCAAAGCAAAACTGAAGCGGATGGACCAAGAACTCTTAATGAACATCAACATGCACACAAGGAGATGGAGGTCCGCCCAAACCCAAAACCATAAATTAAAAACAATGCGGAAAGTGGAAAAGTTAAGTATGAAACATAAAAATTGAAATAAGGAATACAGTAGGTAGAAAATAATAAAAAGAAAACTAGCAGAATTCGATGAAGAAACACTCAGTAGGGAACAGGGAATGAAGCTACATTAAAGACATCTCTAAAAAGAAGGATTAAAGAGCAGAAAACATGTCAATGTCCAATAAGAGTCCCAATTTAAGACAAAAAAATAACAGAAAAGGGGAAAACAGTATATTGGTGTGGGGAGCAAAAAGAAGACAATATTCAAAGCTCTCCTCACCGAACAACACCATGTCAGGATGAACACAGCAGTAACTGATCAGACGCTGAAGAAATGCAGACAAATTAGCAGTTAAGGCTGGACATTTTAACAGTTTTATTCTGAAATCAATAGATGAAATACAAAGAAAATAAGAAGTGAAACTGGAACAACACAGATAGCAATCTAAATTGTTGAAAGTATACAGAATTCTATGCTCACCAAACATTCTCTTCAAGAACATGTGAGACCTTTACAAAGACCATTTTCACAGACAATGAACTTCAATAAATTCTGTCTCCAATTATAAAATAATGAATTCAGAAGCTAGAAATAAAAGTAGTTATTTGAAAATATCTGAAAGCATATAATGCAATATTGGAAGATTAAATAACATTTTAAAACAGTCCTAACTGGGAGTGGTGAGATGACTCAGCAGGTAAAGGCACTTGCTGCTAAGGCCGAATCCCTGACCCCCGATGATGGAAGGGAAGGACGGACCCCTGGGAGCTGTTTTCTGACATCATACACGCATCATGGGACAGGAGAACCAGCCCTTAAAAGTTGTTCTCTAGCTACACACATGCCTCCTTGCACCCCCCTCCACACTCACACAAGCACACTACACACACACACACACACACACACACACACACACACGCAATAGTAATAAGAATAGATTTTACAAGAAAACTGATGGATATTAAAGATGGACTATTAATGAAGTGCTACATATACAGATTAGTGTATCATTTAAGAATTGTTACACCAAGTGGTGATGGCACACACCTTTAATCCCAGCACTCGGGAGGCAGAGGCAGTCAGATTTCTGTGAGTTCGAGGCCAGCCTGGGCTACAGCATGAGTTCCAGGACAGCCAGGGCTACACAGAGAAACCCTGTCTCAAAAAAACCAAAAAAGAAAATAAAAGAAAAAAATTTTGGAAGGAAATTCATATTTTCAAGAAAAGTCATTAGAAAAAATTTTAATTTCATTTTATTTTTATTTCCACCCCCTTCCCTTTTGGGGCATCCTTCATTCTCTTGGCCAAAGTTTGTCGTGTTCTTCAGCCTCCTTCTCATTTTTCTTAGATTGTTTCTTCAGAGCATTTGTGTTTCAGGACAGCTGGAGTGTCGCTGAATCTTGGGGACGTTGGCCCTTTCCTACCTTCTTTGTTTAAGGGCTTTCTCACACACATTGGCAGACACGATCTTTAGAAAGACTGAAAAGTTTTCAGATTCTGCAAGCTCTTTGGGGCCAGAGCCACCAAGGCACAGCACACTCTGTCTGTCAGTCCAGGAGTGGCTTCTCTCCTTTTTATGGTAACCAGGGTGAGACCCCTGAGACCGGCATCCCGACTCATCCACGAACAGACACCCCCTCCATCCAGCTCTCCTTGGTCTCCAACAAGAATGTCCCCGACCCGACCACAGGCACACTTGGCACGGCTCGCTCGGGACTTCCACCGTGTTTGCCCTTGCTGCCACTGACTCAGCCCGCAGAGCCCTCCCACGCTTCCCCGCGGGGCGGAGCTCCTGCAGCCATGCGCGTCGGAGGAAATAC